GCGCAGTGGCCCCCCCCCCTCCCCCCCAGCCTGTGGCTTCCTGCCTGGCTGACACAGTCTCTTATGGTCCCGAGGCCCGTGGTCTCTGCTGGGTGAAGCCACAGAATGAGGCCTGGCCTTCTCTGGGGCTCTGGCAGGGGTGGCGAGATTAGAGCCCCACGAGGCTCCCGAGTGGATCCAGAGGGATCCGGATCCCTGGGGAGCTACTCAGGCCAAGGCAGAGGTAACCTGAGCTTCAGGGGCCAGTGGGCCAGGCCCAGGGCTGGCGCACTTTTGTCCAGTTGCCAAGTTTCGGCCCGTGGCCCTTTCTCTGGCTAGGTCCATGAGCCACTGGAGGGACCACTGGAGTATGGGCCTCACTGGAAAGGAAGAAGCAGGGTTGGCCAGGAGTGCTGGCTGCCACTGAGTGGGCCAGGGCCAAGGGTCAGCTGGGTGGGAGCTAGACTCCCTGTCCTGCCGCTTGCTGTCCTACCGCTCTGCCAGCACCCCGGTAGCCCGGGCTCTGGGCAGGGTGGTGCTGGGACAGGAAGACGGGCTGCAGATGCGCAGTGAGAGTTCCGAAGCCACACTCCAGTGTCTGCCGCCCCGGCTCCATCCCAGCCCATGGACCAGGAGGGGAGCCAGCAGGCTCAGAGGGTGCCCAGCCCGGCTGCTCTGCCCCACCCCTGCTACTCTGCCCCATCCTCTGCTGGCTGCTTTCAAGTTCCAGCCCAGCCCCAGCTCCCGGGGCTAGCAAGAGGAAGTAAGGACTCATGCCCGCGGGCCCTGAGGGTGGCAGGCCCAGGGAGGGCAGGCCCAGGGCGGGCAGGCCTGCAGCCCATGCTGGAGCTGCCTGCCCTCAGGCGGGCCCCCCCAGGGTGAGGCTTCGCTGCCACAGGGCTCAGCACCCAGGGCTCTCCTTCCAAATCGGAAGACTTCTTCCCACTCAACAACGGGGCCTTTTGTTACCCTTCCTTACCCTCCTCCAAGTTTCCTCCTTGTGCAGGTAGTAAGGCCCAAAACTGGCATGAGGAGGGGAGGGCCTTGCTGGGTCCCCCCAGAACTGGGATAGAACCACCCCTGGGGGCCCAGGCTCACACCTGAGACTTGACCACCTGGGAAAAGGCTAGAGTTGGCACCAGGAGGGTCATCGTGAAGCCTGGGGTTGGGGAGCTGCTGACAGGCCCGTGGGCTACTCTGTCTATCTCGGTCCACCTCAGGTTACACTGCAGACCTACACGAGCTGACCCAGAGAGGCACACCCTCCTTAGCAAAACTCGGAGGCTGGAGGTACATGGGAGGTCGGGAAATCCCATCCTGACCACAGATCCCACCTGGCTGGCTCCAGGAAGCCCGGAAAGCGAGCGGGGCCGTGTGTCAGCCATGCCCCCCGCCTGCGGCAC